CGGGCCTTGAACAGAGACATCCTGCCTCTGATTGGACGGAGGAGGGGAACGCGTTAGGATTTATTCTGCTGTGAGCGTGACGTGCACAGATTCATTCATCCACTAACCATTCAATGAAACACAGTCGTTGTAATTCATAATATGCACATTGAAGACGAGCTGTTGATTGGCTGATAGATGAAAAAATACAACACAACATTCTGTCTCCTGTTCACTGAGCAGCACCAAGAAATAAGCAGCTTTTCTACTCGCTAAGTGCTGAGCAGGTGGAACGGGCAGCTAATCCAGAGAGGGGATCCATCCCGTCTCCAGCACACTCAGGGAGTTAAAAGAACATCACGCCCTTTACTACCAACATATCTCATTAAAGAAAAAAAGGGAAGGAAGTACAGATATTCTTAGTATACGTTTTATTATTTAACATGAACATTATTATACTTTAAAATAAATAAAAACACCATTTGGGACATTCACAAGGTGGAAGAGCTGTTTGCTGTCTCCTCTTGTTTTTGCCTCATGCTGTAGAAACATCTGAATTAGTTCCACTAAGAGGAGACCAGATGAGCTGTGGGTTTATTGTCTTTACTCAGGTCGTGATAAACAAGTCCTCTGTGATAAAGTAACAACAAAGTCACGCCTTCACCAGCTGTTTTAAGTCGGTTACAAGTAGAAACAACCCACCAAAGGCTAATTAGCTTGCAGCTAACGTCAAGCCGCTGTTTCGGTGTTTTAAGCGACCGTGTTAAATGGCAACTTTCAGCCGAACGCGTCCGTGGTTGTCGTGGTTACTACAGCCGTTGAAAACAGGAAGAGAAACACTTAGCTGTCTTGGTGAATGCCTCGAAAAAATGAACAGTTCCTCTGTCTTCATATCATATTGTACCTTCCTGTTTCTACATATAAATACACACATAAACAACGAGCTAAATCCGATTATGTTTTGACCATGGTATATGAGAAGGTTAACTAAACAATGCGGCATTCACGAGGACAGCCACGTCGCCAGTTAACACGGGTCGCATTATAAACCGAAACACCGGCTGAATTAACTCAAGCTTAACTGGGCTAATTAGCTAGTTACGTTAGGCCGTACGACAACAAGAGACGTTCAGGTTCGTCGTCG